TTCCACTATAAACAGGGCTGTGATAGACAGGCACTCATCTGGGACCTTCGAAGTGGGCAGTGCGTGCAGTCCTTCGAGGGACACGAGGCCGACATCAACTGTGTTAAATTCTACCCCAGTGGCGACGCCATCGTCACCGGCTCAGATGACGCCACTGTAAGTGACAACTTTTCTCCAATTGATTCCAACTAATTCTAACAATACCTATCCACCCAGTGCCGACTGTTTGACCTGCGGGCGGACCGGGAGGTGGCCTGCTACGCCAAGAAGAGCATCATCTTCGGCGTCAACTCGGTCGACTTCTCCGTCAGTGGTGAGTGCAGTGCATTCCATTGCTCTATTCTATCAGTATCTCATCACCCCCTCATTTTCCCTAGGCCGTCTCCTCTTTGCGGGCTACAACGACTACACGATCAACGTGTGGGACACCCTGAAGTGCGTCCGCCTCTGCGTCCTCTACGGCCACGAGAACCGACTGACCGCAGTGAGGGTCTCCCCGGACGGCACCGCTCTGGCCACCGCCAGCTGGGACTTTACTCTCAGGGTATGTACTGTACTGTACTGTACAATTTACTTCAATCACACTAACGATTCCTGATTTGGCTTTTCGGCACAGATATGGGCGTAGCAGTTCGGTGTGTGTGCGTGTCAGTACTGTGTCAGTACGGCAATCTGGCTCCCTCCCCTTCCTCCAAAGCATACTCTTCCAAAAACATTCACCCTGAATGTTCCCCTTGCCCATTCTGGTGATCAACTGTCTCTTCCTTTTTCTCCTCTTCCCTTCCTCTCTCTCTCCCTTTTTGGTGAGGGAGTCGCCAAATGAATTAAATCAATAATCAAAACTGCGGAACTGAAGTAAAAGTGGAAAGCTATGAAAGTGCTGGCCTGAAATGAAGGGAATGACCGTCAATGGAGGTCTTCCGTGCCCTTCTCATCAAATGGAAACTCTCTGGCGTGCTCTCTTTTTCCCTGATCCAATTCCCCTCCCCGACTGGAGTTGCCCCAAAGTGTGTTCAACAAATTAATTCTCCCTGTTAATCCTCTCTTTCCTCTCTACAAAAATGCTGACCACTCTCTTTATAATCGTCTCTGGTTATACCCAAATGTAAGCAACATTTTGCTACAGCACCCCCTTTCCCAGATCGGCGGTGACCAAATTTAGAATTACACACTCACACTTACTCACTCCCCACACCCAAACACAGACATTCCCCTTTGCAAACTGCCACTGTTACCAGTAAAAACTCACCCATTGAAATTAGAATAGGAGAATGACCCAGACACAGAGAGTGAAAACCGCGACGGCAAAACTTTACCTCATTTCAATCTCTCTCTTTGTTGAAATACCTCCGCTGAAAATCTGATCTCCTGAATCCACCCCGATGCAATAAGCTCTCTCTCTCTCCCAAATAATGGCAAATAATGGACTGCCCCTTCTTTTTTGTTTCTGCAGTCCACTGAAACTGCTGTCAAATCAAACACACTTCTTATTAATTGTCCCCCCCTCCCCCAAATGGCCCAATCAAAAGCGGAAAGAAGCAAGCCGAGACACAGCCAGGCACTTCCAGGCTTAGCCCGAGTGAACCCAAAACTGAGTCAGCGAACACCGCCTACTGTTGTATTTTTGTACATCTCTGTAATCTCCATTTGGTCCATTTGGTCAATTCACACACACTCACTCTCACTCACATCTACACACCAATAATCCCCGTCCGCCCACTTCCCACCCCACAAAAGCAGCAAACAAATTGTGTCTGTGTACATAGCTGACTTGTACTGAATGCGTAATGCTCTTTCTCTTCCTGACCATTCAAAGCCTGGTCACCATTGCCACCCTCCACTCTCTCTCTCTCTTTCTCAAGCATTCCGTCATCATCATCATCATCACCGATTTCACCATCACCACCACCTCCACCATCATCATCACCCTCATCACCANTCATCATCACCCTCATCACCACCCTCATCATCCTTCTCTCTCTCTCTCTCTCTCTCTCTCTCTCTCTCTCAAATCTGATCTTGTTGTTGTATATCATCTATTGACTATTTATTGAATTATTATTATAATAAATTAACTCGTTGAAGGTGACGTGAACTTCAAACAAATCTTTCATTGGGGATTTGTGCTGAGCAAAGCTGAGCGCGCACCGAGCAGCACACTCACACTGTCCAATTTATTAATAGTATTGCAACAATTCGGGTACTTTCAAAGGAAACGAAACAAATCTGCTGGTGGAATGTGTGTGTGTGTGTGTGCGATGATCGAAACATTCTACAATACAATTCAAATACATTCATTCATTCATTCATTGCCTCAGTTTAGCCTCAGCAGCTATTCTTGCACCAAGACCGAGTGTGTGTACAGGAGAAGAGTAGGAAAAGGAAGGGGAAGGGAAGGGCTAGGTAGGCGAGGTCCTAACACCTAACTCTGAAAATGTATATATTACACAGAAGGGGGTGTGCTTCGAAGACAGAGAACGAAGACAGAGTCCACAGAGGGAACTGGGGACAGAGGACAGGACAGGAAGGAGGTAATACTTTGTACACAGAGAGGAGAACTTACAGTTGAGGAAGGAAGGAAGGGGTATTGTACAGTTGAGGAAGAGGAGATTATGCCGTCATATGAGAGAGATGAGGATGATGAAGTGGATGATGAAGTGGATGAAGAGAATGAAGACAGCAGATGTGCTAGTCAGTGTGATTCTCCCTCATGTGATTGAGTTTGGCAGAGACGGCGGCAAAGGTGGGCCGCTTCTCCGGGCTGATCTCCCAGGCCTGCGTCATGATCTCGTAGATGGGCGGCGGACAGCCCTCCGGCGCCTCCATTCGGTAGCCCTTCTCCACGTGCTTCACCACATCTGCCAGTTGCTACATTGAGGGAAAACAGTGAAAGAGATTAATCAAACTGAGAGAACACTCCAAACAAACAAAACAGAGCAGTGCTTACAATGCGCGGATAGGGCACCCGGCCAAAGGAGTAGATCTCCCAGAGGAGAATGCCAAAGCTCCACATGTCTGACTTGTTGGAGAAGCGAGAGTAGCGCAGGGCCTCCGGCGCCGTCCACTTGATGGGGAACTTGCCGCCCTCGGTGCCCAGCGAGGGGTCCTTCGCCAGGCCAAAGTCGCACACCTTGGCGACGCCCTCCTCGCTGATGAGCACGTTGCGGGCGGCCAGGTCGCGGTGGATGACGCGCCGGGACTCGAGGTAGGCCATGCCGGCGCAGGTGTCCGCCGCGAAGGCGATCTGGTCGCGGGCGGTGACATGGAGGCGACCTCGGCTGCGCAGGTAATCGACCAGCGACCCTTTCGCCATGAACTCGGTGACGACGCAGATGGTGGGCCCGTCGAAGACGACGCCGAGCAGCTGGACGAGGTTCCGATGCAGCAGACTGGTCATGAGGCTGGCCTCCGTCAGGTAGTCCTGGGCCGCCTTGCAGTTGGAGTCCTTCAGCTTCTTCACGGCCACCTTCTGGCCGCGGTAGGTGCCGAGGACGACGTCGCCGAACTCGCCCTTGCCCAGCACCTCGCCCAGCTTCAGCTCGCTCATGCGAATCACCCAGCCGGCCTCCTCGAAGGCCTTCGGGTCCAGCAGGTGATTGTTGTTGTTGTTGTTGTGGTTGTGGTTGTGGGTGTGATTGTGGTGGTTGACTGAATTGGAGGTGGTGGTGGTGGTGGTGATGGTGCTCGCTGATGATGATGAAGATGATGATGATGACTTGGCCACCGGACTGCGTAACCTCGTGCAGAGGCCGTCCGCGTCCAGGCAGTAGTGCTAGTGAGTGAGGAAAAGAGTTTAAGAATTTGAGATAAGGACATCATTTCCTCACGGTCTTACCTCGACCAGCTTCGACAGCGTGTCAAAGTACTCCTCCTCGTCGATGGTCAGCTGGCTGTCCTTGTAGATCACCCGGTAGTGCTCCACGCGGCCGTTGAAGCAGACGCACAGGGCGTAGTCGCCGGGGAAGTTGGTGCTCTCGCGGACCAGAAAGAGGCCGTCCTATAGGAAATAGAGGAGATGATGGTGAAAAGGAAAAGATGTCATGAATGGAATGACCTACCTCTCGAGGCATGAGCAGCGCCTCGGCGTCCTCTCGGGTGATCTTGCCGTGGAACCAGGGCATGTTCGCATCGCCTATATCAGGTCGATGGGGGTGATGAGAATGAGGTGGATGAGAGTGAGGGTGATGAGGTGAAATTGGCGGCGGCGGCGGCGAGGCGACCGCTTCATTTTTTGTGCTGTTGAAGCAGCAGTTGTTGGAACTCTGTTGGGGAGATCATCAGTCAGTCAATCAAAAAGAGGCACTCCAATTCAAGTGTACTCACCAGTGAGTTGGGTACCGTCGGCGAGATGCTGCCCGAGGTCGAGTTCGTCGCCAGGTTCTCCTTCGAGTCGGAGAACTTGCGCTCAGCACCAAAAGTCCAGGTCTGTTAAAGGGGAGGAAAAGAACGAGGTGATTAGAAGACTAAGCACATTCTCTCTTCGAAACCGTACCTTGACTTCATCGGCCATCACCATCACCAAATGTACATCTGGCACTGTGCGTGAGTAGCAGGATTGGAGCAGTTGTGGTGGTGGTGGTGGTGGTGGCAGGCGAGGCGATTCACCAGCTACGACGGCAGCAGAAGCAGTAGCGAGCAGACATCCTCATCAGGGCTGTGACACAACAAGGCAACTGAACAACTGCCGTACACGAGAACATGATTCAGGTGGTGGTGGTGCTGCTGGTAGAGTGCTGCTGGTAGTGTCCTGGTAGTTCTGCAGCTGCTGCTGTCCACGTTTATTTGGATATGGCCAGAAATGGCAAGCACAGTGTCTGTTTGTGTGTTGGTAGTAGTCCTCAGTATCTTCTTGTTGAAGGCCCTTTCTGCCCTCGTGAAGGGAATGAGAGTGCAGGTGACTACTGCTTCGAGGTGATGCTGTACGGTAGAGGTAGAGAGCAAAGAAAATATTGGTGGAATCAGGTGGCCTGGTGATCAGGTGCCAGCACTTGAGTTGAGGAGAGAGAGAGGAGAGACGAAAACACCGAGCCCGTTACAGAGCGAAGTGATGTGCTGTGCTGAGCTGCATCTTCGCCCACAGCTTCGGTCCTCGAAGCAGTGGCCACAGTTGCCGACGGAGTCATCTGTTCGCCGTGCTCGGTGGCACGTTTTTGAAGGGGAAAATGGCTACAGGCACAGCCGACGCTGTCGATATAGCGCGCCACACTGTAGCGAGAGAGTGTGTTTGTTTGTTTTGGAGCCGAAGCAGACGCTGCGAGGATTCTCTCTCTTTTCATTGCATCACCATCATCATCATCACCACTTACACCCGTTTCGCAGACAGTGAATCTTGAGGAAGAGGAAGATGTACGGGAGCAGCAACAGCGGCAATGACTTTCGCCGCAAGTGGGACCGCGACGAGTACGAGCAGAAGGCGCAGGAGCGCATCAAGGAGCGCGTCAGCAAGAAGCGAAAAGCGGACGGATCCAGCAACAACAACAACAACAACGACTCTAACAGTGCTCCAGCCAACGATGAGGCCAACGATAATGATGTGCACAGCATCGGCGGTGAGACGGCGGCGTCCTCGGAGCCGAAGGAGCCGCCGAAGAAGCGCGAGATGCTGAAGGCGCGCGAGTTCAAGGTGGACCTCGAGTCGAAGGTGGGCAAGACGGTGGTCATCTCAAAGGCGACGCCCTCCTCGCAGGCGGGCGGCTACTACTGCGAGGTGTGCGACTGCGTGGTGAAGGACTCCATCAACTACCTGGATCACATCAACGGGAAGAAGCACCAGCGCAACCTGGGCATGAACATGCGGGTGAAGCGGAGTACGCTGGAGGACGTCAAGGCGAGGCTGGAGGCGAAGTTCAGGGAGCGCACGGAGACGAAGAAGAGCTACGACCTGGAGGAACGGGTGAAGGAGCTAAAGGAGGAGGAGGAGAAGGTGAGGGAGTACCGCAAGGAGAAGAAGAAGGAGAAGAAGAGGAGGAAGAGGGAGGAGGAGGAGGCGGAGGACGCAGAGGGCGGCGAGGGCGCTGATGAGATGGCCGCACTCATGGGCTTCGGATCGTTTGGCTCCTCCAAGAAGAAGTAGTAGTGGTAATGCTGATGCTGGCCATGGATTTCATACACTTCACTGTACATATTTTCATATCTTTGGGCGAGGATGATGATGATCATCAGTAAAATGGGTTCGATTTGTGGACTTTTCCTTTAGGTGTCGTCGTTGACGGTGCTGCCGCCGCTCAGGTAGCCGAGGTAGCCGGCTGGCCCGGCGGCACAGTGTTTATGTGTGTGTGCCTGCCTGTCTGTGTTTTGTCGTACTCATTACGTTGTCGGCGGCCACCGAGGCAACATCGAGGCAGCTTCTGTTTGTTTTTGTGTCAAGAACCGGCGGCGGCGGCAACAACAAATCCTGATCTGCTTTGTCCTCTCTCTTTCTTTCCCATCACCTCTTTTTTCTAGAGATGAGTTCGAGCACCGGTGAGGGTGCCGGCCCCAGCGGCAAAAGCAGCGGCAGCAGCGGTCATGCGAGCAATGAACTGGACTGCACTAATGCCGGTCGCGGCGTGTGGCTGGTGAAGGTGCCCAAGTACATCTCACAGCGATGGGAAAAGCAGAAGCCGATGACCGAGGTGGGTCGCCTCAAGATTACCACGTAAGTGGATTACTTGGATTTTGCATTGCTCACATCCTCACTAAAATCTCTCTCCTCCAAAACAACACAGCGGTGCGATGGCCAAGCCGGACATCTTCTTCAACCTCTCCGAGGAGATCATCAAGACGGAGCTGGAGCCGGTCGGCTCGACGCCCTCCACGGCCACCACGACCACGACCACCTCGAAGGTGTTGCCGCCCATCGGCGAGGTGCGGGCCATTCCCGCCGAGCACAAGTTTGCCATCTCCGACATTAAGCAGCAGACGCTGGCAGTATTCTCACAGGGTAAGCAGGCGGCCTCATTCTTTCTCCACTGATTTTCTGAGTTCTATTTCTCTCACTTTCTCTCTCCTAGACGACAGCAGCAAGGTGCTCGCCCTGGAGGGGCACGTCGTGCAGAAGGGCGAATGTCGGCCCATTGCCAACACGCACTACATGTCGCTGAAGCGAGAGTCGATTCGGAAGGCCTCGCAGCCGTCGAAGGTGGTGCAGAAGATTGACCGGGCGGTGAACAACTTCAAGCCGATCAACGTGCACAAGAGCGAGATTGAGAATGAGCAGCGGAAGAAGGCGGAGGGGAAGAAGATGCGCGACGACCGGGACATCGTCAAGAACACGCTCTTTGCCTCCTTCGAGAGGCACCAGTACTACAACATCAAAGACTTGGAGCGGATCACCAAGCAGCCGGTGGTAAATTGGCTGAACAGCAGGATACAGTTCAGCCGAGTTCAGTTTCATCATAGCTAATCCATCTTCTCTTTCTCTCTTTCTCTCATTTCCAGCCCTACCTAAAGGAGATCCTGAAGGAGATCTGCAACTACAACGCCAAGAATCCGCACAAGAACATGTGGGAGCTGAAGCCCGAGTT